ATGGTGGCAATGTTGTGTAATACAGCACATGCCACAATGTTGCATGCCCTGTCAGGTGCAACCCTCAGACTTTTCAGACACTGAAATCTTCCCTTTAGTTGCCCAAAGGTAATTTCAATGCGTGCCCTTGTCCTGGCTAGAGCTGCATTGTAACGGGTTTGTGGTCCAGTGTTGGGGTCAGGGAATGGGCTCATAAGATGCTGCCTACAGGCATAGCCCCTGTCTCCGACCAGGATCCCGTCGTAATCACCTGTACAATGGTAAAATGCAGTTCTGTTAGGCCCAGAATAAGTTTGTGTGTAATAATACAGTGAGCTTGACATTAATATTTTTCCTTACCACGTTCAAATAATGTGCATAAACATGACTCTCTGAAAATTCTTGAGTCATGCACAGATCCTGGCCATTTGGCTTCCACATTTGTGACATGGCACATAGAGTCACACACCATCTAAGATATTGTAGTCAATCAACTGCTTATGTAATACATTGTGTATATTACCAATCTAAAATATTAAGAATTGTAATAGTAACAGTTTGTAATAAAACTGCACATTTATACGGTGAACCCCCTTTCGGTTCACAAAATCCCCTTCATTGGGGCCTGGTGGGGCCTTGATATGAATGTGTGTGCAGTCTATGGCACCAATCACATTAGGGAAGCCTGGGGGACAATCAATTCATATTTACCAGCCTGGTCATATTCACACGATCTTCATTAACAAGTAGAATGTACCTGCAATGGCAAAAAAGCTCTGTTTTACAATTTGAAAGACCACAAAAACCCCTAAAAACTGCTTGAGCGCCAGATAAACTTTGCGAATGACACGGCAGACAGCACTTTTGGCCAAGTTCTCCGCATCCCCAATAGTGTACAGTAAAGTGCCACTCGCAAAGATTCTCAACGCGATGCACACAGTTTGTGCTGTTGTTAAAGCCCGACTCCGACGAGTCGATCTTTTAATATGAGGTTCCAACAAATTAATTATGTAAATGACACCCTCACATGAAAAACGATATCTTTCAAAAAGTACACTATCGCGCTGTGCTAATGGATCCTGTCTGTGTCGCAAAACACGATTAATTCTAAAAGCTCTGCGAATTATCCTCGCACCTTCCGCAACAGGTTGCTCTCGTAAAAACGGGCAAGACATGGCTGCAAGGGCAACAGACTTCTTGTATCACCTCCACTTATAAAGCCGCGATCTAATCCTGTTTACATAAAATAAGCCTGCTCCCGAACAGACGGACCTGTTGCTATGACAGCATCTCCGGGATGAGCTTCGAAGAACCAACCAATCCAAGATCATATGAATATGAAAATATGAATTATATTGTTTGTTTGATGCTAATTATATATTAAGTCATATGAGATATGTATTTTGATTTAGAATTTAGACATTATAGAAAGTGCCGATCCATGTGTGAGATGATCATATAAAATGTAATAAATAAATATATATATTATAATAAATTAAACATTACCATGTCATAGTGTTTTATAATTTATAATATATGCCAATAAAATAAATATAATAACCATATTAGAATAATATATTACCTTATTTATTACTTATATTAGCACATCATTAACATAACATACAAAAAACAATATATATATATCTTGATGGCGAAGAACCATCTGGCAATTTAAACCCCCATTAAAAGTAAAGTCTCTGACCCGAACTGTAATTTATATGCAAATGTCAAAAGGCTAAAAGGGTCTCTTAAGCCATAAACACCCCAAAGATCATGCATGATTCTACGCAGACGCTACAATACTGTATATTATAGGCTATATTACATATTGTAATATTATATAATGTTGTGCGTTATCTGTCATGCCCACTGAAGGCTGGTCAGTAGATCACATGTGCGCTGATAGCGCTGAAGTGAACTAACCCTGGAACAGAAGCTGCTCCGGAGCAGGTTATCTTCACAGAGCAAGTTGTGTTGTGTCTTCATCAGCTGCTCTGATGAACCACACTCAGTCTTGGGTTTTTGATGCCAGAAGATACACTTTATTTCATCATCAAGAATAAAGTGGAGAAGTTCTCTGCAGAAAACATCTCCAGAATGTTTTTCTGCTTCTCTTTATATACAGTTTTGACTTTAAGGCGCGGGGTATATTTCCATACAGTTTTCCTTATGCATATGATTCGATATTTTCCTAGAGAAGGGCCCCCCCCCAAGTCTTGTTATGGTAAAGAAAGAAAGCCCACTTTTATTTTCCAGATGTTTCTAATCTGAGGGTCTGTCTACTTTAGCCACGTAGGCATTTTCCACACAGGCATATGTGATTATAATGGAAGAATAACTGGATATATAAATGGTTATATTCATAATGATTACACTCGAACACTTCATATTTTAACCAATAAAAATCTTCGACATTTCCCCCATTTTGAGATTTAGTAAGTCTCACATTTGCTTATTTTTATCCAGAGTGCTACTTCATAATTCAGTCGTATTAGTTTACACTATAAATAAGTCACTTTGTTTTATTACCAATGACTAAATGATGCAGCATCACTCTGGTTTGGAGCATCAGGACCAAACGTCTCCCCCCTCACTTGACTAGGAAGGGAGTAAAAGATATTGTCTCCTTATCTCCTACTTCAATAGAAAATAATGTTATAAGCATGAGCGTGCAACTGGTTCAGCGCTTGCCTGTGGTTGTCACAGTTATGTATAAAAAACATAAAAACACATTCAAAACATCACACATAGAATATCCTGCATTGTTGTCTTGTCTTTTTTATTTTCTTTCCGTCTTTTCCGTGGGAACTTTAGTATAGTGGTCCAGATGATGCCAGGTTGTGCTTCCCCCCACTTTGACTGCTGCTGGAGTAGCTCTCACCACTTCGTAGGGTCCCTTTCTCCTGGGCTCATTCCATTTTCTTTTTTCCTGTAAACAGATAGCTCTATGTATGGCAGTTAATTTCTACATATACGAGCGAAGTTCCATTTGTAATTGCTCTAGAGGCGGTCCTTTGTAGGGACCTCTACAATATGGCCCAAGCATGGGTCGACCTGTAAGCATTTCATGCGGTGTTAAGTGCGTGTTTCTGTTAGTTTGCATGCGATCGCTCATTAGTGTAACAAGTATTGCAACAATTAAGACTAAAACAGGCACAAGGGTGCGTCGAAAGGGTTAATGGAACTATCAAGGCCAAAATTAATTTTGGCCTTGATAGTTCCATTAACCCTTTCGACGCACCCTTGTGCCTGTTTTCTTCTTAATTGTTGCAATACTTGTTTTACAGGGTTTTTTTGTATAAATGCCGACCCATTATCTTAACATATTTCTGATGGTATTCCAAATCTAGGAATTACTTATCTTGTTAGAAATTGAATTACTGTTCCTGCTCCCAGATCTGCTGATGGTACTGCCTCCACCCACCTGCTAAATCTGTCTATGATCACAAGCATGTATCTTTTTCCTTGTACTCGCTTTATCATATCCACATAGTCCATTACCAAATGCTTAAAGGGCCCTTCAGGTACTGGTATATGGCCTATTGGTGTCGCTATCCCTTTCCTCCCATTGTATTAGGCACAAACTTCACATGTGGGCAAAAATTCATCCACCATTGCATATAAATAAGGAGACCAATATCCTTGTTGTTGTTTTTTCTTACCACTTCCCCCCCTTGCGCAATGGTCAAAACATGTGCATCTGCAATAAGAATATTCAAAAGTGAAGTAGGTACCTTTTTCATCATTGGTCCTAAATCTTTTGCTTCCCAATTTTTTCCTACATATATTGCAATATGTGGGACAGAATTAGTTACACTGAACCATTTTTTAACAAATTCAGCATCTGTTATTTTTAAAGCTGCTCCCTTTTGACCTATTATGATGTACTGAGAGACCATCTCAATTTGCTGTCCTTTTGTTTCTTCCTGCCATTTTTGTTCTATTTTTTCATCTCTCTCTGGATCATATATCATTGTGCAATGAAATTCTGATTTTGATAGCTGTGCTTCAGGAATTTGTGCTTCAATAAATTTTACCCACTTATTGACTGTCTATCTCACATCTTGTTCTATCTGTCCTATCCAATAGATAATAGCTTTTGGCTCTGTAACCACCATTTTTGTTTCTGTTCCTATTGCATTGATATATATACCCTCTGGAGAACACCAAATTTGTAGCCCCAATTTACATAATGCATCTCTTCCTAACAAATTGATAGGAGTCTGATTTGATACCAGACTGGCCATTGTTATACTTTGATTTTTTGTTTGTAAACACACTGGAGCTGTCATAGGATTCTTGGGAAAAATGCAATTAATTCCAATTGTCTTTGGGAATTTACTAGACATGGGGAGATGTGAGGCATATTTTAAATTTAAACAGGTATAGACAGCACCTGTGTCTAGCATCATGGGTGTGGTTTTTCCTTCTATGTTAATTTGCATAATAGGCTCTTGATCAGCTTTCGTTGTTAAAATAGGAAGCTGACTCACCCCTGTAGGATTCTCTGGGCACCCCTAATAGCCTGGATTGGGACCTCCCCAAGGGTTAACTGGGCCCTGTGAAGTACCTCGGTTAGGCTGTCGCCAGCTCTCCCCCCTTCCACCCTGAGGGTACTGTTGCCATGGATACGTGGGACAGACATTTTTATTATGTCCGGGCTGTCCACATGCCCAGCACACACCTGGAGGACCAATATAAGGTTTGCCTCTTCCTCTCTGTATTAGTTTTTTGTCTCCATTGAGTTAGTTTTCGCTGTAGCTCTTTCTCTTGGCCTTTGAGCTTTTGCAAATTTTTTCTGTATTGTTCTACGGCATGAGACACATGGTCACAAAACTCTTTGCGTGTTTTAGAGTTTAAACCGACCTGACCTGGGCCCCAGTTAGTCAAGTACAAACTCTAAGACTATGTGCCATATTTCTAGACAGAAGAGCGGCACCACCCCAGGAGGGATGAAGACCATCTCTTTTCAACAGGTCAGGTCTGCCCCAAAAACTCATCCAATTATCTATGAAACCTATGTTATTCTGTGGGCACTACTTAGATATCCAGCCATTGAGTGATGACAGTCTGCTATGTATCTCATCACCACGGTAAGCAGGGAGGGGACCAGAGCATAGTCCAGAGTAGTTGTTTGAAGAATTTCATCCATCTTTGCCCCTCCTATTATTTTAGCCAGCAAAGCTTTAATGCCCCCCACAGCCAAAAGTTTGCCCATAGTTTATTCTTCAAATACTCAAATCCATTTTCCAGCCCCCTCATGAATATCTGGGAGGCGAGTGACCAGCCCCTCGAGGTCCTGTAAGGCCCAGGGGACTTACTGTCCCTGCGCACCCTTGATTAAAATTGGGAGTTGTGCAGCCAGTGGTCTGAGTGTCCCTTTTTCTCTGCCCTGTTCCCATATTCCGCTATCAAATAATCTTCTTTTTCACTCACATCCTCAGTACTTTCGAACAACTTACTTCTCCCTCTTTCCAATTTATTTATCTCTTGTATTTTTTTTCCTGATTCTTTAATTTTCTCTTCTATTTCTTCTAACAGAAAGCTCTTTACACTGGATATTTTATTCCTAATATTTCCACCGGAGTGGCTGCCATACTTTTTCCTATAATATTACAATCCAATTTTTTCTATTTACTTTAACTATTTTAACCAATTTCTCCTAATTTTAGTCTTTATTTTGTCTGATGCATTTACCCTTTTTGTATGAATTGATAGTCTCAACTCTATTTTACAATCACTCAGTATGTAATCATTTCTAAAAATAATTATTTATTTATTTTTACTACTCTTTATTATTTTGTCTGCACTTATAATTATTCCATATATACTGTATATACTTATTTAACTTACTGCCTTGATCTCACTTCTACTGCACTGATCTCTGAAAATTTTCTCCTTCACACAGACACCATCAATGCAAAAGCCTATAAAAGATCTTGGTTCAGTTTTTATTGATACTATTTTCCTAAACACATTCACACTTCTCGTCCCTTTATTCAGACACAGGGCTCATGTTTTCATACTTTGACCCTTTATCTAGAGGATTCATCAGTCATTCATCCCTCTCGGGTGTGGCAAGAGCTGCGTCCACACTCTTTCAGGAGGGGGCGTAGCTCGTACCCACCCAATACGGAATTTATTTATTTTCTCATACATTCACCATCACTTATACAGACATGCATAAGGACACAGACACAGTTTCAGTCTCATACAACAAAACACTACACTCTTCCTCGAGTGACCTGCAGTGCTCTCACTCTTCCACTGATTAATCTCCCTCAACTCAGTAAAAAATCAGCGCCCAGCAGGGATTTTTGCCTTTCCGTTCAGCCCTCTGTACTTTTCCTCTCCTACAGAGCGCGATCCAAAGGACTTTGCACGCTTTCCTTTACTAAATCTGCTATTGTAGTCGGTCCCGACTACAATAAACACAGACCATTACATGTAATGTATTTCTGCCTACACCATCCAGTTTTAATTTAGGTCACCTATCAAGGCCTTCCTTATATTAAACCAAATCTGTGCATGCAGTTATTTCTTCTGGCATCAAAACCCCTTTTTTATTTTCTATTTTCTGGAAGAGCAGATTTTAAGTGTCCTTACCACCAAGGGCAGACCAGCAAACAACACAAACTAATTATATAAGCAAAACTGCTTACCGTTCAGTGGCCACCGTGTTTGTGCTGCTCGTCTCAGCCAACCCAAAGTGGTCATCCACTCTGCTGCTCTTTTCCAGTCCCATCTGGGTCGCCAATTTGTTGTCTTCATCAGCTGCTCTGAGGAACCACACTCAGTCTTGGGTTTTTGATGCCAGAAGATACACTTTATTACGTCATCAAGAATAAAGTGGAGAAGTTCTCTGCAGAAAACATCTCTAGAATGTTTTTCTGCTTCTCTTTATATACAGTTTTGACTTTAAGGCGTGGGGTATATTTCCATACAGTTTTCCTTATGCATATGATTTAATATTTCCCTAGAGAAGGGCCCCCCCCCCAAGTCTTGTTATGGTAAAGAAAGAAAGCCCACTGATTTTAAGTGTCCTTACCACCAAGGGCAGACCAGCAAACAACACAAACTAATTATATAAGCAAAACTGCTTACCGTTCAGTGGCCACCGTGTTTGTGCTGCTCGTCTCAGCCAACCCAAAGTGGTCATCCACTCTGCTGCTCTTTTCCAGTCCCATCTGGGTCGCCAATTTGTTGTCTTCATCAGCTGCTCTGAGGAACCACACTCAGTCTTGGGTTTTTGATGCCAGAAGATACACTTTATTACGTCATCAAGAATAAAGTGGAGAAGTTCTCTGCAGAAAACATCTCTAGAATGTTTTTCTGCTTCTCTTTATATACAGTTTTGACTTTAAGGCGTGGGGTATATTTCCATACAGTTTTCCTTATGCATATGATTTAATATTTCCCTAGAGAAGCCCCACCCCCCAAGTCTTGTTATGGTAAAGAAAGAAAGCCCACTTTTATTTTTCCAGATGTTTCTAATCTGAGGGTCTGTCTACTTTAGCCACGTAGGCATTTTCCACACAGGCATATGTGATTATAATGGAAGAATAACTGGATATATAAATAGTTATATTCATAATGATTACACTCGAGCACTTCATATTTTAACCAATAAAAATCTTAGACAGTTGCTATAGCTACTTACATACCCTGAAAGTAACCTCTGATTTTGGAACCGAAAGCTGAGGTTATCTGCTCACTTATCCTCAAACATACCCGGGTATGTCACATAACCTGCTTTTTGGAATACCACCTGGGGCCTGTACCATGATAGTGGCTGAACAAACTCAGGGTTACAGGATTAGTTTTGAGTTGACAAAAGCAAACCAATCCAATCTGGCTTTGTTGGTATCATGATGCTGAATCAACTTTCTTTGTCAACTCAGGCTTTGATCCTGAGTTAATGAAGCACGTGCACTTAAAAGCAGGACCTCAGTAATGAACAGCCAATCACATGCCTTTTAACTGTGATTCACTTCTCGCAATTCACTGCCATAGATTAAAAGATTGAAAAATATCAATTTAAATACATTTACACAGCAAGGTGGAAAGAGCTGTCAGTGAAAGAGGACAACTAAAAGAAAACATCTTGCCATATCAGTGCAAGTGAAACTTGTGAAGTTAGTTTATAGTTGATAATATATATATATATAGGTATAAAGAGACTCAAAAATCTAAACTTAAATATAGTCCTGTTTAAAGCTTTATCCATTAATTCTAAAGTTTATTTATATTCTATATTATCTGTATATTTATATTAATTTAAAATAAAAGATTAATCATTATTATTTTTAATATGGCTTGTGTAATGGATTAAGGATATAATAAATATATAAATCATATAATTATAATAAATCATCCTCAGTGTCTTATTATGTAGTGCCCTTTAATTTGGAGCAAGAGAAACTGGGGGAGTGGCTTTAGTGCTTCAGAGATGTGTCACTTTTCTTGAAGCTGATTAATCAAATTTCAGTTTGCGATCTCTAAACTAGAACATAACCTGCCCCGGAGCAAGTTAGCTGAGGAGCATAAGTTACTATGGTGATGAACACTGCTAAAAGCCAAGCCACTTTCATGGTACCTAAAACCCAGGATTGGTGCAAACT